AAACCTCAATCATTTTTTAGAGGATGTGCGCGGCTGGGTGGTAAGTGGTGGGCCGGATAAGTCCCCCCTTATACATGTTGTTTATCTTATACAGTGGTGTCTTATAGCAAGTGGTTGTCCTATACAAGTGGTTGTCCTATACAAGTGGTTGTCTTTGGTTGTTAGAGTGGGTTCGACAGTATTATGTTGGCATTGCTGAATTTAAGACTGTGTCCAATTGAAATGCTATTTTTGTTTTAGCGTTATGTCTCCAGGCAAAAAAGAACGAGAAAAAAAAAGAAGGGGTGAAGGAGACATAAAAAAGGGAAGCGGGCAAAATGGGAGGAAGAGAAAGATAGCCAGACAGAGGGGGAAAGTGAGAGAGGGATAGAGAGAGATAGAAAGAAAAGAGGGAGAGAGAGAGAGAGAGAGAGAGAGAGAGAGAGAGAGAGAGAGAGAGAGAGAGAGAGAGAGAGAGAGAGAGAGAAATAGGGGTTGGGGGAAGAGATGTGTTTGAGTGAGAAAGATAGATATATAGAGGGACAGGGGGGGAGGGAAAGAAAGAGAGAGAGAGAGAGAGAGAGAGAGAGAGAGAGAGAGAGAGAGAGAGAGAGGGAGGAAATATAAAAGGGAGAGAGGACTAATAGGGGTCGAGAGAGAGGGACGATAAAACTGCCCATACCCACGGCATCATTCAGCACTTTAACCATTCAATGGTTAAAGTAAATTTTACCCCAACACTACCTTCACCCCTACTCCACTCCCATTTTAGCGTTCAATGTCAATTTAGTTCCAAATTGAGGGTTTAGGTTTATTTTTCCCCACTTGGATTGTCTCCACAGATTTTGTAGAAGAGAGAAACGCCATGGCACAGAACGTCTACCCAAAGCTTAGAGACTACTGCAGGGATAAGTACGGTGTGGACTTTCAGGTGACTGTCAAAATTGGTGTGTCAAAACGATAAAATCAAGGAAATCGGCATTTTGACATTTTTGGCCTAGGGCAATAACTACTATCTATTGTTAATATTATTGTTATTTGCCTCAACATACTTTAGAGATAAGTATCTCATCGCTGGGGTTATCCTAAAGAGCGATTTATAGGTCAGGTTACCACCGTTGAATATTCAAATGTGTTTAGTTAAAGCGTGTGGACTTTGGCATGGTATAGTAGATGTTTTACGGCGATATAGACACAGAAATGACAGTTACGGCGCCAGCGGGGACCTTGTTTTGATATATTTGGCTAGTGCCTGTTTCTTGCTTCTTTTATTGTGTGTTTGTAGGGGCTTTACGTAATAGAATATGTGAGGCAGCGTGGTGGAATCAGGCTCTCGTCAATTTTTTGGCATATTGAGTTGTTGGTATCATCTTAAAGCTTGTTCATGTGTCTCGCTTTCAATGAAACAATTACCCATCCAGCTTCAATAGAAGTGGAGATATTTTGGATTGAAGGAGGTGGGGGTCACCTGATTTAAGAGGTAGAATTAACGAGAAAAAGGCCTTCAAAGCTTGGTAAGTTCCAAAGCTGGAGAGTCCATGGAAACTGTCAATTTATATTTTTGTGCCTTTACTCAACGTTTTCGGTGAAATCCTCAAAGAAATGTGATTGTAAATGGACATAAAAGGTGTTGAGCCAAAAAACAAAAATTTGATAAAAATTGCTAAGCAGGGAGAAAACGGCTGTTTTCTTCAATTTCCTTGTTTTGACGAGAGCCTGATTTCACCACGCTGCCTCACATATTAAAACATTTTGGGCAGCACTGCACGACCGTGCTCTATGGACGAACCGCGCCTGAGATAAGGTCTTTCTTACCATCATCTATCAAACTTCTTCCATCTTTATTATCTTGTTATGAGTATTCATAATATGACCTTAGAGCATGCATCAGAATGCTTATTTAACAATCAGGATACTGAATATGTGTCTAGCTTAATATTATTGTTTCTATTACTGCTCTTTTATATTATACATGTGACTACGGGCCTGTTTGGGAATGCAAGCATACTGCGTGTGTGTGTGTGTGTGTGTGTGTGTGTGTGTGTGTGTGTTTGTGTGTGTGTTTGTGTTTATGCGTGTG